AATATACGTCCAAAAATTAAAAAAACGGTGACGTATAAAACTAGGGTGACGTATAAAACCTTACCAAAACTGCAAAAATGAAGATACTTGAATTTTGCAAATTGCTTTTGGTTCCTGCATATTTACACTATGTGTGTACCAAATTTCAAGTGTTAGCAAAGCTTCTCACGGCTTTGTTATTGCAAATTTCGTAATCGGACCAACGCCATTTTGTAGCTATTTTTATTTAGGACAAAATCATGTCCTAAGCATTTTTTCGTACAAAATCAACCTGCTGAGTTATTTAAAGAAAACTACTAAAAAAATTTTTTTTCACAATTAAATTGTCAATAACTTTTTTTTCTGACAAAATACTTTGTCAGCAAATTAGCCAGTTATTGTACTCATCATTTAAAGTAGATCTGTGCAGTTATTTCCGGGTTATCAAGGTTTGACACACGCCGAACCTCTACCAACTGGACTATGGTAAGATCAGTTTTAATCAGAGCTTAATAAGTGTTTGATATTTTGCAAGTGACGTAGTAACATATGTGTTATCTCATTATAATTTTAAACCAAAGACCGTAAAATTACTCAAAATCATTTAGCTATACATACACATATCTATTTATAAATTTAATCTTAATAAAAACGCTACCTGGAGCGCCTAATAATGAGCCAATCTGTAAATTCCAGAGCCACGTAATTACAAGATAGACCGTATATATTAGACTAGTTATTATTAATTGTTCATCTGTTGGAAAGCGAAATACGTATTAATTCTGCGAGGCATGAAATATACAGAATTTATGCAAATATAGCAAGAGCACAGAGAGAAATTATTATACCCAGGTTTCAAATTTGCTTCAGCTAAATGATGCCGTGCTGTTATATTAACATAATAAATTTCAATTTCTTCATAGAAATTTTCAATTACTCTCGATTTTTTTCACCTCCTAGGAAAGTGACGGACAAATATATTTAACTGACAATTAAATTTACTCGTCAGTTGAAAAAAAATGGCCCTTAATATGAAAATATTATGATTATCGAACTTGTCTGTCTTCTACTGTTAATTTAGGACAAAAATAAATCTTTATCTACTTTCTGTGGGAAGAGCTATTTGTGCATCAGTACTTTATCGATTTTTGACGTTGGAACTTTCATTGTCAACATGTCCACTTCACAAACGTGCATTTTATAAAACCCGTTTCTTATGCATGCAGTGGAAATAACAAAAATTGCTGTAGCCTAACATTAGCAAATACCTACTATTACTATTAGTCCATTGTTTGGAAAGGAAATGCGATGATTGTCTAAACACCAAGAACTATGAAGAGAAGCTGCAAGGGATCTTGACCCTACACAAAAAGTTTAACTGAAATTAAGGTCAATAAAATATCGGCTTGACCCTCTGTTCACCCCTGGGGTATACCGCGTACCATGTGAATACGGGGATGATTATGAAGGTATGACAAAAAGTTCGGTTATTACAAGAAAAAATAAATGTGAAAGGGCCTTAAGGTTCAACAAGCTTGAGAAACCAGCCATCGTCCAACATGAGCTAGATCAAGAACATACAATAAACGAAGACACCGTGGTTTTTGTGAAGCCGACAAGTTTTTACGACTTGACGAGATGAGAGATCAGAAACGGACGGGACATTGGAAATCGAACATCAATCATGAAGAAGGTTTCCGGATCAGTAGAATTTGGTTACCTCTTCTAAAGAACAAACAACGATGTTAGGAAAGAACGAGTGGGACACCACTGTACAGGTGACACTGAAATCATACGCAACGGCACCGACGATAGAACAGATGAACGTGTGACCTCGCCCACTATCCTTCTACGTAGACATAGAGACACATATAGTTCTATTCATGATAAATATACAATTTCTTGCAAAGATTTACACCAGCGATAATAAAACATTTTAAGACAAAATGTGTAAAATGTCTCTTTATTGAACCAAGCGTTTTTAACCAGACCATTCGTGCAATAAATGATTTTTTATACTTAGATAAATCTTATACAGGGTGTTTCAGGATTAAGTCGACAAACTTTAAGGAGATATTCCTTATAAAAAAGAAGAAGAAAATCAAGTATAAACTTTTTACCAGAGACGCTTCATTTTCAAAATATAGGGTGTTAAAGATTTTTAAAAGATTTTTTAAATAACTTCTAAATGAAGAAGGCTATTTAAACCAAATTTGGCATGACACATCTTCTTATAAGATACCATTTTTCCATAGAAGTAGAAGTCCCGCAAGCAACCAGTGGCGGAGTTATGGGGACTCAGACTCATTAAATTATAAAAAAAATTAATACGGCCCTACTGAAAATAAAAAATGTTGCGGTTTTTAGATAGAATAGTTTGTTATTGACAAAAAGTGTACAGTCACTTTTTTTCCTAACTCTTATAGCCTCATGGCAAAATTGATTTTTCGGAAGGGTGCTTCTGGATTCTGTCGATAAACTTTAAAATGAACCTCAACAAAAATTTTCGAGTAGGCTGCTGTCAAGCAATGTTAATTTGACGTTTTAAATGTTATTTTGCGAATTGTTGCATAAATTATCCATTAGATAAAGCGTTCAAACTAATAATAAAAATAAGTTTAATAATGCCGTCCATATTTTCGAACAATGAATATGCTGATATGGTCTTTGTATATGGTTTTTGTGATGGAAA